GCCATCTTGGATACAACTTTTGTTTTTTCAATAGGAAGAGGGCCATGTGACACATCAAACGTATTGGTAATGTCACAAGAAAAACAATGGTGTGCTTGTCATTTTATTACGGTGTATCCATATAAATGGCCCACCTGTAGTTTTACATGGCACCATGGACCTCGTCTCTCTGGCTCAGAGACAAAAGGCTGCCACGCCTAGGAAGTGAACACTTTTCATTTTGTGTGATAAACAAGATACTAAGGTGATTGGTCAAAACAGTTTAGGGTGGGCTTAGGTCTGATGTTGGCTCACGTTTCTTCTTCCGCAACTTTCTTGGCATCTCCTTATTTGGAGATGCCTCTTCAACCATGGCAACCACCTCTTACCCTCCTGTCAGACCTGCATAAAGAGAAAGGCAGACAGTTACGACTATGTTTACCTTCTGGTGCCTTCACTCCTCAAATTCCTTAGAGAAGGGGGCTCCTCTACTGTACTACTATACTAAACTATAGTGTAGCCACCTACTTCTAATACTACTCTACAATGTTTAACTGTGTGCAAAAAGTATAAAACACAGTTATGTGATGCTAATTATAAGATATTAGCCTTAAAGATTTTAAAATAAATCCCACCTTTAATGGCTCTGTAACTATGTAAAACAAGGCAGGCGAGCTTGGACATCCGTACCTACAACCACGGGATAATGTGAAGGCGTCCGACAGAACTCCATTAGTCAAAATCCAGGATCTGGGACCACTGAAAAGCCTTTTAACAGATCTAATAAACGAGTCCCCAAAATTCATGACCCTTAGAGTCTCAAAAAGAGAGCTAGGTTCAGTTTTGTCGAACGCCTGCTCAGCATCCATGGATAATATCACCAAGGGAAGCTCTCATGTTAGAAGTTTCAATTATATGAAACAGCCTCCAAACATTATCAGCTGCTTGCCTGTTTTTAACAAAATCTGTTTGGTCTGCTTGAATAATTTTACAAATAACTTTTTCTATTTGAAATGCTATAAAAATTAGGCAATACCTTATAGTCTGACTCGAGGAGGTTGAGGGGCCTAAAATTACCTCTGTGAATCCTTCCCAGGTTTGGGAAGTCATATTATTGTTGCAGGCACTAAAGACCGAGGGAGTGCCGGCTTTTGAAAAGTATTCTTGATCGTGTTTGTGAGAGGGGTTAGTAGATTTTTGTTTGCCTGGGGCTTTTTTGTTTTGTAACAATTTAGCAGCGAGAAGAAATTCCTCTTCTGATTTTTCTTTCTCCAATATTTGTTTATCTGTTGTGCTAATCTTTGGCAGAGGTAATTCACTTAGAAATTGTTTTATTTCAGTACTGTCACTATCATGGTCGGTCTCATATAAGGCTTGATATTAGTTTTTAAATTCCAGATTTATATCTTTTGGCTTTTCTAAATATCTGCTGTAGTTTGCGGATATCAATAGTCTTATTACTGGCAAATACAGTCTTATTACCAAATTCATAATGCTATCTAGTTCTGCCCATTGCAACTTCAGCTTTGTTTGTACACACTTTAGTGATTCTGCAAATACTTGTTTTGTTCT